CTGAGGATTAGGAACAGGCTGCTGTACAGGAGGTGAACCTTGGATTCGCTGCGGAACTATGGCAAGTTGCTTCATTGTCTGCAGTTGTGGTTTTCCCTTTACTTGACCTGTGCTGGCCCCAGTTCAGGAAAGAATCACTGTTTGGAAAAGTGCTTACTGGACTCAATGTGAATGTTTCAGTGCTTTCCTGAGCCGGTCCTGGCTATACTGCAGTGCTGGGGCTGTGCACGGCAAAGGCACATCTCTCACTGATGATCATGGGCTGATGCCAGGGCTCAGACTGCAACTGGGAAGTGCTCAAGTAGAACATTTTTTGTCCTTTTTTTTTCTTTTCTTTTTTAAATGAAAATTAATTGTGTCTCATTCTTCTTCATGGAAAGCGCCTATTTTGAAAGAAATTCAGCTGAAAATCATGAGGCTTTGGTGCAAACTTTTCAGTTAACCACTAGATTTTATCACCTGTCTGAAACATTATTGGAATCTGAAGTATGTGTCCAAAAAGATTATTATTTTACATAAATATTACTAGATATTTATGTAAAAAACATATAACATATTATAAATATATATTATATATCAGTAATACATATTATATGAGTATATATTTAATTATATGACATGTATTAAAATACATAATATATATTTATATATATTTATACATCTTTTTCACATGATTTATGTAATGAAGGATAAAAATGCTAATAGATAGTTGTATAAATTATTTCTGATAGGGTGATGCTCTAATATAATTTATATAGCACAAATAGTATTGTAACAATATAACACAAATAGTTTTATATTGTTCTATAAAAATTCATAATTATATATAGGATTAAATTAGGGATTGAGGAGAAAAAAGAAGTTTTCCTCCTTTGAAACGGACAATAATCGAATGTTGGGGTGAACAAGGGCCCCCCCAATACCTCCTCCTGCCACTCTCGTCAGTGGCAAAGTGCTGCTCAGGAATTAATTCTCTGTTATTAAACATTAGACTTTTCTACCTGCTTTTTTTTGGCTACTTCCTGCATTAACAGCCTTGCTGCCTGTTTAGAGCTGCGTTGGGGGCTTGCTCCTATGCAAGATGTTGTTGCAATTAACCCATCTCACACTGGAGAACTGTGGTTTGGTTCCATTTACTTTATTAAGCGGGGGATACGTCACTATGGGTTTGCGTTGCTCGTGTTCAATGCAAGTTGATAAGAACCAGCTATTTGAAGGAATGTAGAAAAGTAGATTAAAGGTTTCCTGTCCCCTCATGGTTAGCTTTCTCATAGACGAAATGAAGACTCTGTGAGCGGGCACAAGCTGGTGATACCATCAGTTCCTCCACCAGTAAGCTGACAGTATTGGCGGTCTGAATCTGAGCATCTCTCGATAATGATTTCCTTGTGAGAAGAATTCGCATATATGTATTTCTTCCTCTGGTGCATGCATGCTGTTTCCTTAGCAATGAACTGTGGATTATGGTCCAACTCTGCTGGGTCAGTTGTCAAAGTACAGTAATTCACCTAAGCATTTTTTCTGAGGGGCGCACTAGTATTTTTGAGGCAGGATGCTCTCTGAAAGGGGATGCACCCCAAGATTTAATCTCAGAGCACAAAACTCGCCTCAGGTACGAACAGCAGGTAGATGAATGGGAAACGAAGAAATTGCTGAAGAAAAAGACAAACTGCACTTTGCCCAGATGATGCACTTGAGTGAGGAACCTGATCGTCATGCAGAGATTTCAGCTTGTGCTGGTGCTGCATCGTGGTACCCTGACCCTTTAGAACCTCAACCCCCAGACCTGCAGGGGATCATGTGCGTTGTCCCAGCAGCGAGTGCCTTGCTGCTGATTTCATCCGTTTCAGAGTTTAGTTCCCTTGCAGAAGGTTTCTCTGAAGTAACTTTTCATTACAAAGGGTGGCCATTAAAGAAAACAGAAGAAACAAAAACCAGCAAAATCAAGGTAAGAAAACCCACCTGAAAACAGGGAAAACTGCGATTCTCCATGAATCTTCTTTGGCCCATACTGTAAGTATTTAATAGGATACCTTGTAGGAATAGACAGCAGCGGATTCCTACAATAACTTAAAGGACAGCCTTTTCCTCTCACTTCTTTTACAGCACGGCCCACTCGTCCTCCTACCAGATATTGCTTGCACAGCATCACCATTTCTCTTCGGATAATCAGTATAGGTTGGTAATAATGCATAGCAACACACAATTAAAAATTAATAGTGAAATGATGACATTATTCTCTTGTAGCAGAACCCCCTCCACCTTCCAACAAAGGCCTTTAAAGCACTTTGGCTGTTTCCCAAATTAGCTGATTAATGCCCTGCCTAGCACTACTCCCATGATGCACACGTGCTATTACCAGGCAGGAATTGCTGCTGTCCACCCAGGAATGGGGCAGGTGGCAGGGAATGCTCTGCTCAGCATCCGTCAGCCCCACCATGCCTGGAAAACCTGCTCCAATGGCAACAGCATAGCCAGCCAGTGTTTGATACTATTGGAGTCATCCGTGGCATTTGCAACTGCAAGGCAAGGCGTTGGGAAGTCTGGAGAGAGGGGATTTGCTTTCCTCACCGCCAAAACAAAGGCTTTGCAATGTTACATATATTATTCTGATCACAAAAGTATCTTGCATTAGGGCTTTCAGCATGAGATAATTGACCTTGACATTGCTTTCAGCTGAGGGCACGTAACTCTTATCGCAGTGACTTATCTTGAAGGAAAGCGTGCAACTGCAAGGAATATTTACTTACCATCTCCTCTTTCTTTTTTCTGTGCTCTGCAAGGACAAGTAGGCAGAAGCGTAGTGAGGGACGGAAGGCATTTTATGTGGATGAACACATGAAGAGGTGATTATGTATTGCTAAAAGTCTAATCCTTGGATAAACTACAGTTTGCTATTAATTCTTTGGAATTGCTTAGCTGCTACTTAACATTTCCATGACTTAACAATTATATTCTTGAGCTAAGAGTAACTTTCCAACCAAATGTGTAGGGATTAGAAACATTGATAATTATATTAATTAATATTAATGGCAGGGACAATATTTGTAGTCATATGACAAACAGGAGGAAAGCAGGGCTTTAATTTTATCAATTAATTCTCTTTCTAATTGCTTCCACCATTCAATTGTCAGAACGTGTTCCACTTGCAGCAAGAATGTGTCAAGCAGGAAACGGAAAGTTAAGGGGAAGGGGAGATGTGTGTTTGTACATCCAGGCACACGTTTAGCCTTGGCTGTGGGCTTTGCATTTTCTCCTGTCTATTTATTATAACTGCCAATCATATGAGTAATGGGTTCAGTCTCACTTGAGATGGGTTAGTAGGCAGAGGCAGTCAGGAGCACAGAACATCACTTACTGAGGAGCTCTCCATGTTATCAATGTCCCTCTTCCCACACCTTGCCATAGGTGCAGGATGAGCAGAGTCCAGCAAGCCAAGCAGACCTTGGACAAGAGCTCAGTGTGTGTATCTATACAGACTACTCAGATTTGTTTAATACATCTGGTTGGATCAAAGCTGTCTCTAGAGGAAGGCAGAGAGCTGCAGTCCATTGGCCTTAATCCTTCCCTATGCTCCCATATCTTTATACTGCTCCACCAGCTCAACGCTGCCATAAACCCAACCTAATCCACCCTAGCACTGCCTGGTGTGAGGAGAATCCCTCACCAGATCCCTTACTGAGCATCACAGCTGCCACAGAGGCTTCTTGGCACCAGGAGGGAGGTGAAACCCTCCCTGCAGATGCGTCCAGCTCAGGGAAGAGCCAGGAGATGATGCTCTTGCTTGGTGTCCCAATAGGCCTGGGGTGTGCAAAACCCAGCAATAGGGATGGGAGCATCCACTGGGGAAAAAAACATATCCATAAAATTTTCTGCATGAAAATCTCCATGTCCTGAAACCACTTTCCTCAGGGAGATTTCAGCCTATAAAGAAGCTTTAATGTGTTGAAGTTTCCCTCCACACAGAGCCTTCACCACATAGCAATCCAAGAGGCCAATAAAACAAATAATCCCTATCTATCTCCTGGGGCAGTAAAAAGGAATGCCACCAGCTAAGAACTGTGCCTTCAATGCCTCTACAGGCAGGCACCAACAACCCCTACAGCTGCTAATCCCCTTGCGTGGCTTTACATTCGCTGCCCTCCCAGTCAGTGCCCGGGTGCTGTGATGTTTCAGCATCTGCTTTTCTTCTCAGCTCATCCCTCCTCTGGTCTTCCTTTGGATCGCATCCCTGTAGCAGTGACAATCCCAGCCAACGCTGCACAGGCCGAAGGGAGCCGTCACCCAGTACATGCTGCTCCATTTGCCTTTTGGCTTTGCCAGCTAAACTGGGACAAGTTGCTGTCTGCTCGGCCCACTGGGGGAACATGTCCTGGGGACTTCCTTATCCCCATCCCAGTGAATGTGGGGGATTCTCACTCATGAGGATTGGGGAATACTCCCAGATTTCTGCTTCTTGTCGGCTGGATGCTCTGCCCATTCCATTGCCCCTCCTTGCTGACATCCAAAGCTGCTCCCCAGCACATTTGCATCTACGCATATTTTTAGGCTAAAACCAGGCAGCATGATTCTACCTTGTTGTGCAAGACTGTCAAAAAGGCATTCAGGACAGATTCGGGTCTTTTGTGCGGGTATAAACGTTGCTGCTTCTCCATATCCCCATCAGGAGACAGAGCTCAGAATTAGTCCTTTTGTGTTTGTTTCCACTACACCGGGATGGACCTGTGAGCCTTTGCTTTTCCCCATCAGGAAGCAGAGATTTAACGTATTGAACGCACCAGAATTGCTTAATGAGTGCTCAGTGAATATTAATAAAAGTTTGGACGTGACTCAGGCTACAATGGATGAGAAGTTTGAAAGCTTTGGTTCAAGATTACAGGAGGCTGTGAGAAAATATGGTCTCCAGCAGCTAGCATATAGTGCAGATATTTCACTATCCAGGGATCTCTAATTACTAATAATGTACAGGAACAGTATGATATGTCCTTACAATCGCAGAATCCTTTTCAAAGATAATCTTTAATAGTTTATTTGACAACCTGTAAAATTACAGAAAATTATTAGGCTGGGGAATTACAAAAATCCCCATGGCACAGTCAAACAATAAAATTATAATTACCTGTGGGTAATTGAAATTTAACTGTTTTTTTATTGTATATTACACATCAATAGCAACATAAGTTCAAGAGTGTCCCCCTCCCCTCCCTTTTCTTTTCCTTACAGAAGCGGGGAAAATGGACAACCCTGCTGGTAGCTTGTGAGCCCTTGTCACAGAACAGAGCTTGAACAATTTCGATTAAAGCAGTACGTTCGAGACTGTCATTAGACCTGCATTAAATTACATATCTGGAATGTTAAAAATAAAGAGTACTGAAGCTTATTCACAGCTGCCTGTGGTAAAGTATGGAGTCAAGGTTTTGATTATCTTTAAAGTTCTTATTTTTCCCTTTTCTAAAACTTATTGTTTCATCAAACAAATATCTAGCGCATTTAAGAACAGTATGAGCACATGAGCAGAATTGCTTAAGATGGATAAAGCGTTAGCGTGTTTCCATTCTGTGCTCGGCAGTATTGTTTAGTACTAACAATGGTAATTTATCAATTATACAAGAGGGAACAAAGCACTCTGAGCTCCAGAACTACCTATTACAAGGCCCAAAGCTTGAGACCCCTTCCAGACCTCGGGAGGCATCATTTAACGTGAGCGCTTGCATTACCAGCCTTTGCCTTGTCCTCTCTCGGTGACCCCACGGCGGCTGCTCAGTACTCAGCACCGCGGCACATCAAGAATTCCATGGCTTTTTTTTTTCCTAAACCAGGAAAATTGTAACCTTTGTTCTTCTTTCCTTCTGAACCAGGGCTCCTGATAATGAGGCGTGACTGTTCCCTACCCCTCCTGGCGGCAGCCTGCTCTTCTTGTCTAGGAGGTGAGCCCATCCAGTCCCCTCTCGCTGTGTCGCTTGGGATGGCGTTAGGGATTTTTAGCACAAGCCTAAGGACAAACCCCGACCTTTTTGGATGCAACACAAACCCCCAGATATGGTATGCTGGACAATTCATTGTCCATATGACAGCTTTGTTACGTACAACTGAGATGCACAATGACGGTGTTTGCTTCTGTACACGGATCAGGCTGGCTACTTCAATTTGATTCTGTAAAGTGCTTTCTGATCATGATGTGAATGTAACTGCACAAGTTAAAATAGCTCTGTTTTATTAAGAGTTTCAATTAAAATGTTTAATAGACAGATTTTATCGTGAGAGAGGCATCACAAAGGCTGAGTACAACATAATGGTGAGGCAGGTATTGTTATGATTATTATTACTGTTATTTATGTATAAGCATTGAATTATTAACTGAAAACTGGGAAATCAAGTCCCTGCACCCCAGAGAACTCACAAGAACAGCTTTTTTTTTGGGCCAGGCAAAGCATCTCTGCTTTGTGGCACAAGTAATGGTGCATATACCCCGGTCTGGAAATCTGTGACCCTGAATGGGTTTTCCCATTTCCAAAGATCAAAAGTGGCAGAAATTCAGTTGGATCCATCATTGCCTGCCTTTTACTCTTCCCATTGCCTTTTCTTCTCTGCCTTTTGGTGCAAGGGCCATCCCTGCACGTTAGAGCTGTTTACTCTGTGTCTGTTTACCCAGCAGAGCAGCTGGAAAGTGCTCATCAAAGTGGTATTTGAAGGCTTTTACCAGGAACCTGAGAGGTATTTTGCCTTCCTCATTGTGTTTTGGCCTCCTAAAATCTAAAGTGGAGCATCTGTATTAGAGTTAAACCAAGAATAAGTCTTTCAGAAGGAGAAACCCCAAGAGGGACTGTATCATCAAAGCAGTTAATGGTCTAAGCTACAGCAGAGAGACAGGGCTGGCCCAAAACTCACGGTCCTTATGCCAAATAGCCATGACCTTCTATAACACAGTAAGGAGACATAGCTGAGAGAGTTTTGTTTTGCTCTAGCTGTTTCCTAATCTCGACCCTTGACCAACACCTGAAGGCCATAGGAAAGTTTTCCTCCATCCTTATTTCAGCCCTCATTCCCTGGCAGATTCCAGCTGCTGAGCTCAAAAAAGAGAAGCTGGAGAGCGGTTGTCCACTAGGATTTATATATACGGGATGCTTGGAAGCTAAATCTTCCAACCACTGACATGCACCACACTGTAAGACAAAGAGCAGGAGATAAATTTTCCTGCCTTTGAAATTTCTGCTCGTGTCACTCACCCAAGGCTAATTTTTACCATTGTGACTCCAGTGAGAAGAGCTATCCTGACATGAGTGTCTTACTCTGCGCTGTGATGCCGGGATGAAGTGAGAGCTAAGGATGAGCAATTGTAGCACTGCCAGGATTCAAGCCAGGTCAGATTTGTCATTTGCTAGAAGTGCCTTGTTTTTTGACGTAGGGATCAGGGAAAACACATTGATGCAACATGTGGAGAAGGACAAGAAGGTCAATATTTGCCCCTATAAATATGATTCAAACAGACCCAAGCCTCATGGTAATGGCAAAACATTTCCAAGTGAAAACAGAAGCTTTTAGGGATAGCCATTGACACTGAGTGCAACATAATGGGAGGGTCCAAAATCAGGGAGCTCCCTAGGGAAATCATCATTAATGGTCCTCATTTTGCTCCCATCTGTAGGGTGTCTGAGCTCACAAGTGTTTAGGTAAGGAAGGCTGCAAGTTCCAAATGAGGTTCGGCTGGTTTTCCTTCTCATGGATGAGGTTAGAAGGTTAATAAAAGAGTTAATCCTGGTCTGCCCTGCAAAATGGAACAGCTCATGTATGTGAGACTTCAAAAGGCTCTGGAGTGTGTGTGTATGGGTGGTGTTATTTCCTGACAGAGCCGTCCCAAGAAGACGGGGGTTGCTTTTTGGAAGAGGAGTTTGGCCTTTAAGTAAATCAGCTGGAGTGAAAATAAAAAGGTAAAAACTAAAATGGTTTTGAGAGTAAATCCTTATTGAGTTGACTTAAACTTTTAAATACGTTAAAAGTTTGAAGGGCTAAAAAGAAATAGTCAATTTAGGGAACATTAAGCTAAAGCATCTCTCCTCAAATTGGAAAAATAACAAGGATAACAGTGAGAAACACGATACAGATTTACTCACTGGTTTGGTGGACCTGGAAATATTTTGTGTTGCTTTCACTCTGGCCATTTGTAACCACGGAAGGGTTGCAGAGCACAGATAGAGGACAGGCCCTGTGGGTACAGCGGGGGGGTTGGACACTCCTGTTTCTGGCCTCCACATTATGCCCAGCTGATTATAGCACCAAGCAGTTATTTATAAGGAGAGCTGGGTGTCCATTTGCTTTCCAGCACTAAGGGAATGCCTACTGCACAGCACACAAAATCACTTCAGGCCCTGTTAGGTTCTTCTGGAGAAATATATACTACAGTGTGGGTTGCTTATATGCCTCCATGACATGATATTCCTCCTGCATAGATGAGGCTCCACACTAAGGAACAGTGTAAATGTTATAGTCGATATCCCTTGGCAGAGAAACTGCACTGCAATTTCGTCTTTCTTCTTTCCTTCCTCCTGCACAAGGCTCCTGTGCTAGCAGCTACCCATCTCCTATAAGGAAATGGCATTGTGTTAGAGTTATATAGTGTATCATATTAAATTTTATAACAGTGCTTGGTGTTTTCAAAAGACTTGGGGGGGAAACAGCATCAATCAAGGAACCACATTTGATAGACTTGGAAGGGGTCTCCTGGGTCATTTTGTCCAAGACCTCTATGAAACAGGAAGGCTTCTGCAAAAGACCTTTCCCATAAATGTATCTAACCTTTCCTTAAAGACACTGAGTGATTGTGCCATAAATACCTCAAGCAGGTAAACTAGTCTGATTGACCTTACGACCAAAAAGTGGCTCCTAATACTGTATATAAGGTACAATTTTCCACTCCTTCAGCTGTAGCTAAGCAAGAAAAAAGGCCAAATACACAGTAATGGGCAACACCACAGACTGTGCAAACAGTTTTGCTTTCACTTTACTGCCATCCCCTACCATAAATCTGGATGTACCACTGATACTTGGTTTTCCAGTGTAGTGTCTGCGATCCTTGTGGTATCTATCTCACTTTGTCTCTGCCTTTTGGAGAGCCAGCATTACAGAGTGTGGAAGTAACAAAGACGTACGAGCAGCACTTTCCGATTCAGAAAGCCATTCAAAACCCTATGCCATGCAGTTAAAGTGTTTATTTCTATTTTCTATTTATTGGAATTTGTGAGCTGTTTCTCATCAGGACCACGGGAGCTGGGGGAAGCACAGGCCTTTCCTTGTCTCCATCAAGAGTGTCAAAGAAGAATTTTCATCCTCTTCTAACAACTGTTCATATAGAAAAATAAATACCTGGTAGTTCAGCTGTTTGTGGTTGCAGAAGTAATGCACTGTGGGCTGGTTGTGGCCCCATCCTGCTCTGCTGCTTTTCTCTCAGTGAATTTTAGAAGTGTCGTTCTGTGTAGATGTGTTATTAAATCACAGACACATTCAGTTCTGAGAGCTGCCTCAGCTGCACATAAACTATCTTTGTCTTGCCTTTTTCTGCCTTTTCTGATGGTGAGAGAGCTGAAGGCTGCTCTCCCTCCCACCTGTTTCTGTCAAGTGCATGGTACTTATGGAAAGGGGTTGTCTCATGGTGTCCACCTCACCTGGATCAACATTACCTAATTCATTCTGGATGCAGGAGAATGTTAGACACCCTTCAGGGCATCCTTGCAGCTCCCAGGGAAAAGCAAGCCTTAAAGGCTGAATATGCCACCGTGGTGCTGCTGTCAGCTGTAGGAATGAACAACCATCTTACAGTCACACAACAGGTTTTGCTGTCACCAGCCACTTGCTGAACATCACAGAGCATCACACCTAAATGAGACACTGAATAGGTCCAGTAAAAGCCTGTGAAAAGGCTTGGGACAAATGTTATTTTAAGGGAACCCCAGCAGGCCCAGCTGGCCAGCCTGCTTTACTACCAACACTGTTCACAACCTGACCCAGAGAACCATATTGCAGAGTGGCTGAGGAACACTCCAGAGGAATTTCTTCTTCAGAAGACCTGAGAAAGAAGTTTGACAAGGTTGAGCTGTCCTGAGCTTGGTTTCAATGACCATTCAGTGTTCTAGGGTAGAGCAGGCTGTCTTCCTGTTTTGTTTCTTGGTCCAGGAAAACTGGAGTCAGGTCCTGAAAGCAAAAGACACAAAAAAAGTGAGGTAATTTTGACAGAACACGATGATCCTGGGTTTAAAGACACACTGGTGTCTCCGCATGGCCCTACCTACGCTTCTGTGCTGTGCCTCCTTTATGCCTTATGCCTTCAGACTTGCTCTTATTTGTCCTTTGCTCAGTGTTGATCATTTCATTAAGATCTTTTCTATAAATGCCTTTTCTATACAATTATCTAAATGCCATCCTTTCTCCAGAGTTTTAAAGTATTTCCTTAGTATTTAATCACATAGCAATACGGGCTCGAATACACATTGTCCAGTTGTTTAAGTGCAGAGGGTGGTGAGGTCTTGACAACTCAATCTGGTATTATAAAATCACAAGGGAAATACCTATGCCAAGAAAAGGAATGCAAACACTAACAGACCTGCTGTTTATTGTTTATATTCCTTTCAGCCATTGCTGGCTTCCCACTGAACCACCAAAGCAGGCTCCCCTCACCATAACAGCTCATCTTCACCCCTGTCCTGTCCTGAGCTCTGGCTGCTCCAGCAGCCCCTTCTCTGCTGAGACAATTTGAAGCCCACAGCCATTTGCTTACACAGGATCCCTGACTCACATAATAAACTCAGGTTTGCGTCATGTTGACCTGCTTCAGTCCCCACATCCCCTGTTTTCCTCTTGGTGCTTCTCCATTGTGAATCTCCAGATTGTGAATAAATAGAGAAACACAGGTTTGTTCTGTTCCGTCGAAGGGGGAATGAGGACAAACAGGGATAGTTCAGCTCTTTTATTATTAGTATTATATCCTTTTTGAGGGAGGGTTTTTGTTTTAGCCCAGACGAGTTCTGACCTGTACCCATACCCGTACTGTTAGGTACTGCTGGAAACAAAATGGTGCATTTGCATCAGGTGCTCCTAAACAAAATATAATGACAAATATCATAGAGATTTTCTGATCCTGCTCAGAAGCAAATACGGGGCTGCATCTTGCAATCCATTTGGATATTTACAACAGAACATGGCATATCATTTAATTTAAATATGCAGCATGCTCAGTGTAATTAATGCTGTGCAGTGCCTAGAAAATCCTGATTTCTTAATGTGATACAATGCATGCATGCTGAGACCTTTTTTTTTTTTAAAGTACTGTATCATTTTGGATCATTAATGGGGAGGCACAACCACTAACCAGGAAAAAGAGCTTTGCTCACTTGGCTTTTTATGAAACTTCCATGCAGCTCCCCAAAATACGATGCAAACTACAGGTTTGTTTTATAAGAGAGGGGGGGAGTCAGAGATTTAATTTTCCCTTGACACAGCATGATGCCTGAATAGCCAGGCAGCTATTCCTAAATTATGTGCATTTCATTCCTAGGAGCTGTGAGCATTTTGAATGGGCTGTTGTTAAATACAGTACACAAGCATAAATACTCGAGGGAACAGCTAGCTGAGATTTTGGCATGAGCAGAAATCTGTTATCTATCGTGGAAGTATCTGAGCACGTAATAATAATGCATATTGATTTGTCAGGAGTGCTAAGAGAGGGGGTTTGGTATTCTGGGATGAGAACTGTTAAACTTGGGAACATCTTGTGTGATTATAATAAGCCACGGTATTTGTGTGCTGTGGTTCTGGCAGGGACAAAACTACTCACACATAATCTTTAGACCTGAGAGGCTGGCCTGGCTCTCAGTTTTGGAACTGAACCTAAGAGCCTCAATGCATGATAAAGACATGTACATTATACATAAATATAATACATAAACGAAGCGTGGGGAGTTTACAGCTGTATCGAGATAGATGACAGGTAACAAAAAGGCAGTGTGCTTGGCAAGACGGGTGAGGGCCAAAAGCCCTTCAACATCAGGAGCTTTGCAGCCATGACTTCAGTGAGCTTGGCTATTAGTTTCCTACTTTATCAAGCAGGTCTGATTTGAATTGTGCAAAAAGAAGAGAAAAGGAAAAGGATTCACAACCCCTATCACTTTGCAGGGTTATCAGTTTCTACCAGAACACACTATAAAAGCTCTGCTTATAGACTTGTTGATAGCAAAGCAAATTTTTCAGGTCCTCTAAATAAATCTGTTCCTAAATATAATGCTTCAACTTCTATATTCTCATCTGACACCTGACAATTCAACCTTAAGAGTAATTGGTCCTGTCTTTGAACCTCTGCAAATACTGTATGAGGAGGGTGGACAATTTATTGATTTAGATTGATTTTTGCAAGAAGCATATGAGACAGATACAGTACCAGGTGTCACACGCTGTATATAGTACGCTCCTCGAGACCATCCACAGGCATTGAGACAGGGTTCAAGAGTATACCCAGGTAATGTTGAGCCAGTGCTTGCAAACAAAGCCACCCTGCTGCATGATACTTCACTGAGAAAGAGACCTCAACCAGAAACAACTGAACTGGCCAAGTTTGAATTTCAGGGTGAGATGACATGGCTTTCCTGTTGGGAAGCAGCCCAAGCTATGTGCAGGAACCCAAAGGGTTATTCTAGGGCAGGTTGCTCAACCCACTGAACTCTTCCTGTTGATGAGCCTTAAGAAGGGGCTGGAGGAATGATCAGGCGTTTTCATGCCTGTAAGTATGTTTTTCAGTGCTGTGGTTAGTTGAGAACCTTAGAAGCCAGGGCAGTGGATTTGCTGGGAGTGAAAACATTTGTGAACTGGCTGTTTGGTTTGTGACAAAAATTGTCACTGGTATTAATAGCTCTGAGCCCCAGGAAAGCCCTAAAAAACCCCAGGGAAATAGCAGAACAAAAGGAAACAGAAACAAGATGGCACTGAGGGTCTCATCACTGGGGAGGATGATTAAGATGTGAGACAGAGGGCTGTCCCACTTGTGTACCAGTTTGGCTGGGGAAATCACCCTCCTCCCGCTGCCTTGCTTCCCTCATCTATAATGAGGGAAGGAATAACTCTGCAGCACACTTTACACTGGCATTGCATGCTAACTTCATTACTGTTTGCAACAGCCTGTGCAATCCTCAGAGGAAAGGAATAATAACAAAGGAAAAAAAAAAGAATGATAATTACCAAGCACACAGTTTTCATCTCTAATCTTCATTTCAGGATTCACTCTTTCTGATGTCAATATTTTGCAATGGAAGAATGAGAGATGCAAAGTTTCTGTTTGATGGAAGTAAATTCAGATTTAATATTGCCGGGGAGCCGGGTGTTTAATACACTGGAGCAGGCTGCAGGCAGCCGCCCTGTTTGCTGCTCCTTTGTACCAGTTCAGGAGCATGCCCGTGAGCAGGGAGAGAAATGGAAAGGGGCTGCTCTGAATTTCCAAGGAGTGTGTGTGGGGGGGATGACAGTACTTTGTCATTTAGCTCTGTCACGACAATTGGGAGTGTCGCACAACGAAACAACATGACGTGCGCCTGGTAAATGAAGAGTTTTCCAAGTGATGTACAGCTGCCAAAGCTGTTGTTTGGTCACAGAGTGAGGCAGAAGAAAAACCGCTCTGAAGAGGCACACTTACAAAGTGTCATAGAATCATAGAATTATAGAATGGTTTGGGTTGGAAAGGATCTTAAGATCACCCAGTTCCAACCCCCTGCCATGGGCAGGGACACCTCACACTAAACCATGTCACCCAAGGCTCTGTCCAACCTGGCCTTGAACACTGCCAGGGATGGAGCATTCACAACTTCCCTGGGCAACCCATTCCAGTGCCTCACCACCCTTACAGTAAAGAATTTCTTCCTTATATCCAATCTAAACTTCCCCTGTTTCAGTTTTAACCCGTTACCCCTTGTCCTATCACTACAGTCCCTAATGAAGAGTCCCTCCCCAGCATCCTCATAGCCCCCTTTCAGATACTGGAAGGCTGCTCTGAGGTCTCTCAAGTTTGTTGTAAAGTGGTTTCCTCTGTGTGTTTAGCCCATTGGCTATATCCTATGAGCAACAGGAAAACACCCTCTTATATCACGCACTCAGCTTCCGACCTGCTGAGGACTTTCCACAAACTCTTTAGGAATTTCCCTCTTTTCGTTAAATTGGGTTGGCTCTCATTAATAAAAGAATGGTCTAATGGAAAAGAGTTTCTAAAATTATACTGTAACCTAGAATTGCAGGATTCAGCTTTCTGTGCCTGAAGAAAAAGATTCCAAGGCATTAAACTTACTTTATCAAGCATTGCACCTGACATGCTCTCATAAATTTTACATACATTTTAACTTATTTTAATATTATGCAGGCTTGGTTTAAAATATTCCCATGAAGTAACTAAAATGAAGCTGCTCAGCCATAAATTAGAGCTAAAAAAATACTTGTTCCCCCCCCCGCCCCATCAATATTTCTTTACTTAAAATCATGCCTTGTATGTAAGTTAAATTTTCCCCTCCTGAGATACTTTGTGTAGCTTAACAGGCCTACCACAGAACCAGTGAGCTCTATTTCTGTAGTGTTAAATGCAGGCCCTTCACTGCTTTAAAGCGTCTCACCCAAAAGCACACGCGCAACCCTTCCACGACAATACTTCAGCAAGGCCCAGGGCCCACAGCTGAAGTTGAACCATGTTCTTATATACATATATAGGAGCAGCCCTGTGTTGGCTGGGCAGATGAAGGCACGGTGGGCAGCTCTGTGGTGATGCCTCTTGCAGCCCATCATGGTCCTAACACCTCACGGATACCCCTTTGGTTGCGACATCCCTTTGGCCAAGATCACCATCCAGCAGGTAACACCATCATCGACAACTCACCACAGAGCTCCGTTTGTGTCCCCATTCCTGAAGCCATTTCAAAGGCTGAGCTAAACTACACAAACATTTGCCTATCTAGACATAACAGGACTGTTATGAAATCCTGTCAGCTTGTTGCCATTTAGCCTGAACACACGCTGCATGTGTCTGCCGGGCCATACTTGGGCAGCTCTGTAGCACGCGCCCTGTCCCAGACACTGCAGTGATTATGTCTGAATGCTCCTTATCTGATTGAAAAGCCGACAATGCCGCACATCTGCGCTCGCGAGGCTCTGCTGCTGCACTGCCACGC